GGGTTTAGGGTTTAGGGTTCAGCCCGGGACCTTCGGTATTGTTCTTAGCATCTCTTTTCACAATTTCGTTAGTGGCTGAATAGGTAACCTTTAAGCTTGTGGGGCTCTTATAATCCTACTACAATTCAAAAGGTTAACCTTTTTTGGGCTAGGGTACTCAGCCCCTAAGTTTCTGAATACCCGTCTCTGTGCTTTCTCGGCTTAGCTGTGCTGAGTCGAAGCAGCGTCCCATGTATGTGCTCCTTCGGGAGCTGGTGGCGCCATGGTGTCTAACTGCTCTCTCTACGTAAGCACAGGTTCCCAGAGGGTCCGAGTACCCAAATAGTAAGGTTTTAGGTCCCAAAATGCATACTCTGAATGGTTTTTGGACCTTGAAACCCTACTATTTGGGTACTTGGACCCTTAGGGGTTGGCATCCTACAGCGAACTCAGCGAACTTGTAATTTCTGCCCAGGTGCGTCTTCGAGTTTAGCATCGCGATCAAGGCCAAGCCTGAGGGTTCCCAGAGACTCCAAAACCTTAAATCTGATTAGGGTTCCTGTTATAATTTGAGGTATATTCCTTAATTAAGGGGTTTTGGAGTCTCTGTGGTTGAGGAAGCCCGAATTCGGCGCTGCAATTTCAGTAGCGACACCTTGATGAAGACAGGCTTCCGAGCATTCAGACTTTTCCCAGCCCTGAGACTCGACTAGAAAGCGATATGATATACAGGTTATGAGGTGATATCGTTTCCACTTAGCCTTGAGACTCGACTAGAAAGCGATATAGAGATTATGAGGTGATAGCGTTTCCACTTTCTTCCCAACGTAGCAAAGTTCCATGCACGAAGCCCTGCACCAGAGAGGTGATCAACAGCTTGCGCAAGCTAGAGACCTACCAGGATCCCCCAGGTGTGCCCTTTGAATGGAGCCCTTATGATCCTTGGTAGTGTGTCTTCACCCTAAGGCTCCAAATAGCCCAAGAGCCTTACATAGTATGGTCCTTGAGCCCTAAACCCTAAACCCGAAACCAAAAGCCTTAAAAAATGAATCCTTGGAGCCCTAGGGTTAAGGCCTATCCCGACTTGGGCTTTCGTTGACTTCAACACTGCCTGACCTGTAATGTATCGTTCCCAAAGCCACATGGGTAGTTGTCAAAATTATGGTCCCTTTGGGGGTACCTAGATAATAGGTGCCGTATTATAATAAGGGCCCAAAAAGGGACCATAATTTTGACAACCACCCACATGGCGTAGACTCCCGTTCTGAAGCCCTACACCTCAACCCTAAACCCTAAACCCGCAACACATGGCTCTTAGACCCCCTTAACCACTGACCCTGACTCTTGAACCCTAAACTCTAGACTCTACACCCATCTACACCCAAGGTTGTCGAGCCCCAGAGGCCCTTGGACCTGTAGTTTGTTCATAAACAACGAAACCTAGACCTTCAACTAAGCTTTCAGTCCTAGGCCACAAAAGCTATAGCACGCACACCTTACACATCTTGAAAGTAACCCCAAACCCCAAACCCTAAACCCTAAACCCTAACCCCTAAACCCCAAACCCTAAACCCTAAACCCTAAACCCTAAACCCACTCCTTCTTCAATCTATTTCAGGAGCGCAAGGAGCTCACAGTCCTGATGCCTCAGGCCGAGAAGGACCTTGCAACCGGGGTTTGAAGAAGGGATCATAAGGGTTTAGGGTTTAGGGTCTAGGGTCTAGGGTTTAGGGTTTAGGGTTTAGGGTTTAGGGTTTAGGGTTTAGGGTTTAGGGTTTAGGGTGAAAGTTATTTGCATCAATGATGGTTGATTTCAGCTGACGGTTTGACTGTTCGCCCACCCCATACTGCACGCTGGGGTTTAGGGTGTACTTCAAAAGGGGATAGTAGGGTTTGGGGTGCAAGCTTTGGGGTCTCGGGGTAAGGGGTTCTGGTAATGAGAAGCTTTAGCGTCTAGGGGTGCAGGGTTCAAAGTTCTGTTCAGCGGAAGCCCAACACACAAAGCTCGCACAGGCTCAAGGTTTCAGAAGGACCCAGAGAGCCCAATACCCCTTTAAAAAGGAGTATACCTTAAATTATAGTGGCCTTATGTAATATCATGATTGAAGGTATATTCCTGAAGTCCCTTAAACCCTAAACCCTACAAACCCTTATAGATCCCCTTAAGGAGCCCTTTAAGGTATCTTCCCTAATTAAGGCTTAAGGGGTATTGGGCTCTCTGGGGAGTGCTAGAGCAGCCGAGATCAGGCGCCGATCTCTCAATGGCCTTCTTCAGAGCTAGATCTTCTTTGATAAATAGGTAGTAGTACTAGGGGTACCCCTTAAAGGGTTTTAGGGTTTAGGGTTTAGGGTTTAGGGTTTAGGGTTTAGGGTTTAGGGGGTACCTCTTCTGAACCCTAGTTTTGGCTCTCTTAAAAGGGACGTTATTGAGAGGGTCTATATCCCCAAGGGTCCCCCTAATCCTAGCTCCCACTAAACTGGGTTCTTGTTAGGGAGTGTGGTTGAAGTTACCACGACAAGCAAACCACATTAGTTAGTCTAGATCTCTTTATATGGGTAGTTCTCTAAATTAGGGTTCCCTGTTAGGTCCCCAATAAAATACGGCACCCTTATAAAGAGGACCCTGAAAGGGACCCTAAAATAGAAACCTACCCATATGTTCCTTAACAAGAACCCGGTAAGCCCCCGATCCCTAGAACCCTAAAGCTGCAGGCAGTGAACTTCTCAGCCCCAAGAGCCCTTCAACAAAGACTGTACCGAGCGCCCTGGGGCGGCTTTTTTTAGAAACTTGGGTTTAGGGTTTAGGATTTTGGGTTTAGGGTTTAGAGTTTGGGGTTTAGGGTTTTGGGTTTTGGGGGGCCCCAATATCCGTTCGATGTGCTTGCAGGGGTCCGTCTTACAAAAGAACCCCGACAGGAGGACCTTTTCAAAAAAGCTCGAAACCTTGCAAGACCCTGTAGACCTTTATGGAAAACCGAAGCCAATATAAAAACCTTCAAATCCCTAAAATAACTCTATATAAGTTTCTGAAACCGAACCCCCTAAAATCTTACAAATCCCCAAAACCCGGGAAGCGCTTGCGGCAACGCAAAGGACTCCTTCCGCCTTGCGCTCTTCGAAACCGGGTTGCAGGGCATCTACGACGTCCTCGCATCCCTTCGGATCCAGGCATCCTGTCACTGTTATTGTGCTTTAGGGTTTTGGGTTTAGGGTTGTTCTTCTTCTCATAAGCTCTTCGTGATACAATGAGCAAAACAGATATGTTAATACGAATATTGACATTACTTTCCGGGCGTTCAGGGGTTGTTCCTAGACCCCCAAACTACCCTCCATGTTACCCCCAAGTTCCCACTGTCTAAGTACCAGAGAAGGTGTTATTGAGAGCACTTGGGAGGTCCTGGGTGGTGTTGGGATGTAATATAGGGGCCTTATTAACTGGAAGAGGGTTTGGGCTTTACTATACCATAATTATACAATAGGGGTCTTATTAATTTGAAGAGGGCTTGGGGTTTACTATACCATAATTATAAAATAAGGGCCTTATTAATCTGAAGAGGGTTTGGGGTTTACTCTACCATAATTATAAGGTGTTGGGATGTAATATATTATAGGGGCCTTGTGAGTTGTAAGAGGGTTTGCCCCTTCAGGATCCCTTTAAAGGAACCCCCCAAGCCCTATTCTAATTATTGCGGCCCC